TCCACTTTGCCTGGTCTCCTGCTAATTGTCATGACTTCGGTCTTGCTTATATTGATCTTCATGTCATATTTTTCTCTTAGACTGTCTGACAATATCTCCTCTTTTCCATATTATTTTCTCTATATCTTTGCTCTCCGTTTCTGTGTCTCTCTGTCAAGTTAAAACAAGAGAGAAGGTCAAGTTCTATCAAATAAATCATCCCCCTCCCACGTATATTCACAGATATATTGAAAAAAAACATCCTCTTTCTCGCAATCGGTCACATCGACCAGATGAGGTCCAACAAGAAGTCGACACTCTGATTTGCTTGGTAAGTTAAGTACGTTCGGAAGGGAGGGCCCAAGTTGTTTTTTTACCAAAGATTCTAACAACATTTCTTTTAACAAAATGCTTTTTGATAAGTTCTTCTATCGAAACGTGCTTGATCGTAGTCTGTGTGAAGGTCAGGCATCGAGGACACCCCCCTCCCAAATTTAAAACTAATACCCCCCCCCCTCACCCCTGACATTTAAAATCAATTTGACATATTTCGCTGTCTGTCTGTCTGTCTGTCTGTCTGTCTGTCTGTCTGTCTGTCTGTCTGTCTGTCTGTCTGTCTGTCTGACTCTATCTCTTTCTTTTTTTCTTTCTCTCTCTCTCTCTCTTTCTCTCTCTCTCTCCTATCTCTCTCTCTCTATCTATCTATCTATCTATCTATCTATCTATCTATCTATCTATCTATCTATCTATCTATCTATCTATCTATCTATCTATCTATCTATCTATCTATCTATTGCTCTTTCTCTTTCTCACTCAGTAACTTCTTCCTCTCACCTTAGGAAGAGAACAGAGGTTACAGGAATGTTCTGGGTGAAGAGAACAGAGGTTACAGGAATGTTCTGGGTGAAGAGAACAGAGGTTACAGGAATGTTCTGGGTGAAGAGAACAGAGGTTACAGGAATGTTCTGGGTGAAGAGAACAGAGGTTACAGGAATGTTCTGGTTGTTTATGTAGGCGTTGCCCGATACCTTGTTTGTGATCCCAACTCTCGTAATGTTATCAAAGTCATTTTCAGATAAAAGTACACAAGCTCACGTCAGATTTTTAAGCACAGAGAGAGAGGACCGAAGATTAGAAGTGTTACTAGAGAACAACAACAACAACAACAACAACAACAACAGCAACAACAACAACAGCAACAACAAAAAGAAGGATGAGAGATGAGGACAATTGATGTTTGATAAGGAAGAAGAACCGCTCAAACACGAACAATCTGACAAGATCTTTTGCCCATCTTTACATAGTTATTTTGACCTTTGCCTCTTAGACGACCTTGACCGATACTCTAACATCCGTTTGCGGTTTCAACATTACAACTGTAATCTTTGACATCTGGAATTTTACAGTACGCAACGAGATCATAAATAATCGTGATGTCTGGAATCATGATAAAAGATAAAAATAGAAGAGAAGAGGGGGAAATCTGTCAGAGATAAGACAATGCAGCACAGATCTTATCTTTCTTCTGCAGATTATTTACAACCGTGGCGAATAAAGGTCATTGAATGCACACAGCTGTAAAGAAACAAACAGAGAGACTGTGACGATAAACTGTTTTATCGGGGACAGTTATGCAATAAGACCGTTTATCTCACGTACACATATCCGTTCCGCTGAGTGTCTAACTGGGCGAGGCATACCATTAAATCTTTTAAGTCATAATAAATCAAAGTCAAATTTGGAGGGGAAAAATCAGTAACAACAAAACAAACACAAAACTAAAACACAAAATGGCTACACTTTTAGATTTAATTTCCTTTGGATATAATTTTCCTTGGATTTAGTTACCTTTTAAAACTAGTTTTCTTCAAGATCAGCTTTTTCAGATCTAGCTTCATTTGGTGAAATTTCCTTATAGTATGCAGAAATTTTTCCAACTGCAGCCCTTATCGCCAGTGCTACTGTTCTCGTCAAGTTTTTTTTTCTAATTTGATGTCGTTTAGGCATAGTGCTTTTCACTCTTCCAAGATCAGCTGGTGTTTTTATTTCAGGGAATCAGCATCAGTGGTGCAGCGATTAGGCATTTCGCTACCATACCCGTAAGACCTGATATCAATTCCCTTGTGGAGAGAATTATTTCTATCGAGTATCTCGGTGTTTCCACTGAAAATTTGTATCCCACTCAGCCCGGGCTGGCCCTGGCAAGCTGGGCGTTAGCCTGTCTCCTAAAGTATTAAAATTGTGTCGATATATCGAAGTAAAACACTTACATATTTCATAGTCGTATTCGAATTACAGCTGACAGCAAAACGTAGTAAAGATAACGATACATGATGAGAGAACTATCAATGTGGTGAGTTTATTTAAACCTAGTCATAAATAGATAAACAACATATTGATACCCCAGGTTATGATTATAATACCCCTGATTATGATTATGATACCCCTGATTATGATTATGATACCCCTGATTATGATTATGATACCCCTGATTATGATTATGATACCCCTGATTATGATTATGATACCCCAGAGTATGATTAAAAGACCCCTGATTATGATTATGATGCCCCTGATTATGATTATAAGACCCCTGATTATGATTATGATGCCCCTGATTATGATTATAAGACCCCTGATAATGATTATAAGACCCCTGAATATGATTATAAGACGCTGATTATGATATCCTTGATTATGATACCCAAGGTTATGATACCCCTGATTTTGATACCCCTGGAAGCAAGTAGCAGCTCTGAACGTTTTACGACCCCATCTACAGAGAAGAGTAATCGCTGCTGACTTATTGCATGCTTGACTACGTCTTGTGTCACATGGGTTCGAATCTCACCCTGGACGTTCCCCAAACATGGATTTCATTGTACTCGATGGCGTTCTGTTGCGACTGTGCGCCCGATTCGAGGGTCCCATCTCTCCCATAATGTATGCTGGCGTAATACCCAGTGCCCTTTTGGGGTCGGTTCGCAATTTTATTGTCTAACACAAACCTATCACACGACTCGTGGCCTTGAAAACAAATGCGTTTGTTTTTTAGGGTCACCGTAGGCACGTCGGCGAGTCGGCTTCATTCGGTTTGTGCCACGATAGTCGCTTTTCGCCCTCAATCTGGATAGTTCCATTAACCAAAACTGAGCCGAACCGATCCAATCGTGGCAATAGGTACTGGGTATAAGGTAGCAAAATGTTGAACCAAAACTCGAGACTGTAAAGTCAACATAAAGCAAGCAAAACACACGCAAAGGAGTGCCTTAATTATCTTTTTATTAATTCATGAATTCAACAATGTGTCTTTCAGTTGGATGAGTTTCTAAGAGAATCTGCGATGCATAATAAAATCTGCTGAAAGCGTTGAAAGCGTTTCGAGAATATCTCTCACAAAGTATTGGCATTCTGTTCTGTACCACTAGTTATTTCCCGAAAGCTATGCTCTGTAATGTTGATATCAGCTCTCTATCGTTGGTAATCCGCTAACTACTCACGGTGCTTCTCATTTTTTTTCAAGGATGTCTCTTTAACTTAAAGATGAATTTTGAATAAAACAAAGTCTTAGATAAGGAAACATGGTCTGCATGTGGTCGAAACTAAAATTTGTGTACATTTTAAAATAAAAATCAATAACAACCGAACGGAAGAATCTCTATTGAATCCTAACCGTGAAAAATATGAGGGGTATTCAGTTATCAGTCTGGCCTTTTCTAAGTATAAATATATGTAGTAAAAGAGTAATCTTAAAGAATCATTCTACATTTCATATATTTTACTATTTCAATGAAAATATATCTGCCCTTTAAAAGTAACTATTTTTTCTCCCACTCCCTCCTCCCCCCCCCCCCTTTTCCCATAGACCTACTCGTTATCTTCACCATTGCAATAATAAATCAGGATTGACCTTCGACCTTCACTTCTTTCTTTCAAAAGATCTTTGAAAAAAAAAAGAGGACGGGCGTCTTTTTCGGTGGTACAAAAATATCATTTTAAAGAGTAAGAAAAACAGGATTTGAACCACCTTCCCCTCTCACGGCAGGCTGGGCATGCTACACTGGCAGGCATCGCCTCCCAGCATGATTTTACACAGCTCCTCACAGATGTTGTGTTCGTTGATGGGTGGGGAGGCGGGGAGGCCTCTGAATCGTCCTGTTGTAGGAGGTTGAAGGGTGAGTTGGAGTCAGATAATAAGGATATCCTTATTATATATATATATATATATATATATATTTATATATGCACATATATCTATATATGAAACAATATAAAGAAATAAAGATATAAATATATCATATATAATTCTGGTACTGTTACTACTACTACTACTACTAATAATAATAATAATTGTAATGACCATAAAAACAATGACAATATGAGGAGAATAAGGAATGGCGATAAAAATGTAACACTTATAAATAAAAATAATAATAATAATAATAATAATAATTATAATAATAATAATAATAATAATAATAGTAATAATAATAATAATAATAATAGTAATAATAATAATAATAATAATAATAATAATAATAATAATAATAATAATAATAATAATAATAATAATAAACAATAGTAATATGAATATGATATGAATATGAATATGAATATGGATAAATAATACGAATAAGAATAACGAATACTTAATAATCATAATAATAATACCATGATGATAGTAATATCTACATGAATAGTAATACTGATGATAGTTTTTATAGCGCCAACTCCCGCACACTACAGCCAGCAATAGGAGCTTGACAATGTGGATCTTCCTCTTGACAAAACAAAAAACAAACAAAAAAAACTATGTATGTACGAACATGAACATATTATACGCTCTCTAGAGCTGACATTTGATCTATCACAGCACAATCTAAATAGTATTATTATTATCACGTTACAATTGGTGACGATCTGCACAGCTCATTACATGTCATTGTATTATAATAATAATGGGGGTAGCATAAAAAAACGAACACCGGCACAGTTTCAGCAAGTAAAAGTGCAAGCGACCAGTGAGACAGCCAAACAAAAACAATAGGACCACCCCCCAAACCCCCCACCCCCACGCCCCCCCCACCCCCCACGCCCCCCCACCCCCCAGGCCCCCACACGCCCCCCCACGCCCCCCCCCCCCCCAAAAAAAAAAGTAGGACTTACAATACGTGCCGTGACGCTCTCAAACTGGGCCTATTTGCCGGTTGCTCATACATTTACCGTTTCCCGGCACAAGGACAAAAAGCAGGCCGTTATGCAGGGTGACAGATTGAACTCTGCCTACAATTGAGAACTCCACGGTTCAGATCCAGAAACTGGTACACCAATATTTTTTCTAAAATAGGCTATTTTTAAAAACGTTTTTTTTCTGTGTTTTTTTTCTTTCTTTCCCGTGGCCTCTCGTCTTTGTCCTTTACATATCTTTTTGATATGAGGATTGAACTGTATAAAGTAAAGTTGTTCCCTCATCCGATCCGGACATTGGGGATTGCCTTGTTAGTGAGACAACTTCCTGAGCCTTCGGCATATTGAGGTAGGGTGTCCAGTTCCTTTCAACATCGCCTTTTTTCCCCAACTCGAAGTCAGGTACCCATTACCGCTGGATGGGCAGGAGGGGGAGAAAAAAATCCTTATTCGAACTGAGGCTCGAACCCGGACTTTCCGCTTCGGAGACGAGCGCACTAACCGCTCCGCCACCAAAACCCTGTTGTACGTCCGATCCCCAAATCGAACTTATGTGTGACGGAGAGCGATCTGCGGCAACGGGAATGAAAAGAAAAAGTAGATTAAAAATAAATAAATGTGGCTAACCTGTTTCTTGAACTGAAATGTCGGACTGTTCTCTAGGGCTCTCGGGTTCAGCCCTGTCTGTAAGTAAGGCTGAGCGGGATGCAGTTCCCGTTGTTGTATAGATTTTAAGGGGTTTTTTAAACACTCTACGCTTGTTTAAACGATGGAACCTTTTAAATTGAACGTCTATCTCCTGTAGGACCAAGCCATTTTGGCGAGTGGGGGTCCTTAAACACTCCTACAAACAACCAAAGTTCCCTATCCGGAAATCAACTTCGTGCCTCTTATGCCAAAAGAACCCCCCAACCCCCACCCCTCCCGGAAAAAACTACCCACAAACAAACTACGACTATTCGTCTATGGAAGATGTTTTTGTTGTTTGGGGTTGTTTTGTTTTGTTTAGGTTTTTGTTGGGGGGGGGGGGACCTTATTATGAGGTAAGTGTATAAAAAGACCGCTTTTGTTATTCATGCAAGAAACGTGTTTCACATCGTACATGAAAATACACCGTGTACAGTAAAACACATTAGAAACCCCCCCCCCCCCAAAAAAAAAAAACAACCCCAAAGCTTAACTTAATTATTAATACTGAGATTTCAATTCTGTATTTTTTTTGGGTAAAACTTAAAATTTCAGGGAATAACTAGCTTCGTCCCAGAATATTGATATGTTACATAACGAGAAAGCATTCTATCCCATCCAGTCAAAAAAGAAATGTAATTTGAATTGAAAATGTTTTAACACTGGGGTAAGGAAAGATATGTTCACTCACTTCGGGACAAACAGCCACACAATGACTTGATCACTCTAGTGATCTCCCCTGTGTTCTTTGGTGCGACTGCGCATGCCCTCTGACACACTATGGCATCATCGGCGCATGCGCAGAGAACAAGGGTCAGGGTCAGGAGCAGAAAACACAAGGAGCGCATCCTGATGGACGATGATCACAGGGGCGGGAAAACAGGCTGAAAAACAAAAAAAATAAATG